CAAGCGAATAAATATATGAAAAAATGCTCCACATCGCTAGCCATTCGTGAAATGCAAATTAAAACTACATTGAGATAGCATCTCACCCCAGAAAGAATGGCTATCATAAAGAAATCACCCAACAACAAATATACATTTGTTTTTAATGTTTATCCTGGGCAATTCAGTATGTGGTTGTGCCACGGAGTAGGAAAAGGAACACAGGAGGAGAAAACTGGAGAAAATTGGGAATGCCAGATGAGGGCGAAGAAGGTAAATTGATGAAAGTAGCCCTCCTTCGACATCCAGTCACTGACTTTTGGGGAAAATACGCAGCCTCTGACCCCGTCTGCTTTTCTCCCTGCGTGTAGAGCTGACAGATTCCAGGGTCTTGTGTGCAACAAGCACCGAATGACGCTTAAGCTCCACGGTGGGGGATAAGGAGCTACGGGTATTGAAGGTCACAGAGAAATGGATGCCAGAAAGGAGCGCCGTGCACCGAGCAGACAAAACAGGCTCCTGGGCTCACGAACAGAACAGGGAAACAAAAATAGGGCTACTATGTGCTTCGATCTGGGACTGCGTGGGACTCTGTAGGGAGCATCCAAGCTCAGGTGGTGGAGGGGAGAGATCAGGGAGGGACGGCCACAAGGGGCTGCTCCAGCCCAAGTGGGTGGAGATGGGGGAGAGCCTCAGCCACCAGCGTCCTAGCTGTGCTAATCTGAACATTTACCTGAAGTAAAATACACAAAGGTTTTACCAGAAGGCCTTCGGTAACTTCAAACGTTTTTAAATGGCTGAGTGCTTCCCCTAAAAGAGAGCTGACAGGGATGGTGGGCCCGGCGGTGGCAACTACTCGCCCCCTAGTGGCTATGAGAGGAATGAGTCCTAAAGAAATAAAAATTGGGTCAAAACTCCGAAAATGGTTTCAGCTCAGTTTGATTTGTTAATTATGGAGAAAACTTTTCAAGTAGGCAGGCACAGAAATTAAGCTTGATTAGACTCATTAAGGAGAACAATAAAAAAAATCAGGATAACTATTCTTCACAGACAGAATGAAAGTAACCCAAGAATCCCTTCAGTAACAACACATTTTAATAAGAAAGGATTTTTGGGATTAGAGTTAGAAACCTGTAATTAGAGGCTTGCTGTCAGGGAATGACCTAGCAACGTACAATGTCCTGTAAAAGTTGTGTCAAGTTTTTGGCCCGAACTGGGTCCTTTTTCTCTCTTGGAAATGTGGAACCAGTAGCAGCCTGAGCATTGATTGAACAGTGAACCAAGGTTAACTCTTGGCCAAAGAATAGGCGACACTGGGGACAGCCTCACGAGTCAGCCTCCTGACCCACTGGCAGTGGAAAAGTCATAGATATAAAATGCGGACTACAGGGCAGGATAAGTCAGTAAAGGCAAAGAACATCCATGTCTTTCCTGGCAGAGGTTTTCTGGGAATTCACATATCATTGTGATGGTGGAAAATAACTCCTGACCTGCTAGCTTGTCAGACCTGCCAGGTTCAGAGTCTCAAAATATCCAGGCATGAAGTCCTGAACCAAAGGAAGAAGTTAGGAGAGATTTATTGGAAATAGGATAATAGTTCCTGGGTTTCAAGAAGGGGTCTCACTCACGTGGATTTTATATCACAGAGTCGCAGCATGGTACAGCATGAGTCAAGCTGTAATCAACCTGTAGGATCACAAGTACAGTCACTTAGCCAATACTGGTCCGATAGGGAATGAGGTACACAGCAAGGGCACGTGGCGACCATCACTCCTCGTTAACTTTAGCTTATCTGTAACTTCTTTTTTTTTCTTTTTATTATAATTTTCTTTTATTTTAAAGAGTAAAAACAAGAACAAGAAAAACAAAAGCAAAGACAGAAAAAGGGTAACATGTAACAAAACATACGTTACAGATTTTCAAAACAAGAATAGTTGATTAACAGTGATTGATATATTTTCCATTTTTATCATCAAATCTGTTGCTCAGATTAACAGATATAGTTACACAAGATGGAACATATGATTGAATATTACCACATGCTTTCAAGAAATCTTAAATTTTTGTTCTTGATTCTC